GCAGAGCCCGCGCTGACCGAGGCCCGGGCCGGATGGGCGCTGCGGGCCGGGGCACGGACCGCGGAGCGGCCGTGAGTACTGGCGGGCCTCGTTACAGTTGCGCGGGCGGTTACTTTGTGGCGACCCTAGGGTACTGTGGTTGCGGGCGGGCCTGGGAAGCACCTGTTGGGCGGGCAGGGGCACGAGAGAGGCGGATCCGTTGACTTTTTTGTTCTGTTCTCATTTTCGGGTGTGTTGATATTTGGTTCACTCCATTTGGAAATACACCACAAAGCCTAATCTTTGGTTTTCCCCGCCTTCTCTCCACCTCCCCGCCTCTCCCGGCCCCTTGCCCGCCCCACCATGCTGAGGTTTACTGGACATGAACTAGATACTTAGTGTTTTGGGTTTTTTTTTTCTTTCCTTTTTTAAAATATAAAAGCCGCAATTGAGGAAATAAGAACAAAAGATGTCTCCAATGAAGGATTGTTTATTGCGAGGGGGACGTATTTTCAAGTTGCCCACACGAAGATCATAATTAAAATTAATTGTCCTTGGTGTTTACCACTTGTGGCTGTAGGCTTTATTAATGCAGAGATTGCAAAAGCCAGAGCTTGAGAACCCTACGAAGTAGGAGCCACCACCCTCCCTTACCTGCTGTTGATTGACGTCTTTGATGTCTAAATTGTGTGCTCAATTCTAGTACAGAAATAAGGCCAAAATTCCTGTTCAGATAGATAGGTTTATGGACATGAAAGACATCAATTTCCCCACCCCAAACCCTTTGGGTTCTGTTACGTTTCTTTCTCTATCCAAAATGTACAGGCGTGGCCAGAATGTTATTCTTTTCATCCATTAGCCCCCGAGCCCCCACCCCACTCCTAAATTTCTCAAGTGCTCAAGCCAATCTTACATTCTCTGTGAAACCTTACTATTTGCTTCACCTGCCAAGCTGCCATCTCCCATCACATACGTGCCCTTTAGCTTCTGCTGTTTTCTAGTAAACGTAGCAAATGTATGCTGAGCACCTGTTCCATGCCAGAAGCTGAGCTTGATCCTGGTACCATTGAACCTTACAATCATACACTGGTTGCCCCATCATTAGCCAAATGCTCTAGGAGGGCATTGTTTGGTGGCATGTTTGAGGAATGCTCATGCTCAAAACCTATACCTTTGTGCACATCCATTTGTACCCTATATGTTTAGAGTGGCTTCTCCTTAAGGGACTAGAGCAAATTCCTGCCATATCACATACATGTACTAGCACAGGATCTGGCCAATACTAAGGCACTTGAAATAATCATTGAATTATCTTAGTTACCAATCTGAACAATAATCTTTGTTTTTTGATGCTGAGGAGGGAATCTAGGGCTTGTACATACTAGTCAAATACTCTACCACTGAGCTACACACCCAGCCTGTTTTTTTTTTAATATTTATTTTTTAGTTGCAGTTGGACACAATACCTTCATTTTATTTAATTTTTATGTGGTGATGAAGATCGAACCCAGGGCCCTGCACATGCTAGGCAGCGCTCCACCACTGAGCCACAACCCCAGCCCCCCCCCAGCCTATTCTTAAAATAAACTTATTTTAGAAAAACATAACAGATTTTCATAAAAGTTACAAAAGAGCTGGGGTTGTGCCTCAGTGAAAAGAGTATGTGCAAAGCATGGGTGAAGCCCTGAGTTCAATCCCTGGCACCAAAAAAAAAAAAAAGTTGTAAAGATAGTGCTGTCATTTCCACTATACCCCTCATCCAGTTTTCCCTAATGTTAAACCATCCTAGGTTGCTGTGGTATATTTGGTCAAATTAAAAAATAATAATAATTAGCTGGGTACAGTGGCACACACCTGTAATTCCATCAGCTTGGGAGGCTGAGGCAGGAGGATCATAAGTTTAAAGCTAGCCATGGCAACTTAGCAAGGCCCTAAGCAACTTGGTGAGACCCTGTCTCAAAATAAAAAATAAAAAGGAGTAAGGATATGGCTCAGTTTTTAAGCATCCCTGGGTTCAATCCCTGGTACAAAAAAAAAAAAAATTAAAAACTGGTCTGGATCCGTTCTTTAAACTCCAAACATTAAATCTTTGCATTTTGAAGTACCAAAGTTGCTACAGCTGTTCGTGTAATATCTATCCTTTGATTCTTGCCTCTTTTCACTGAGTTCCACAAGCATCTTGTCAAAGAGCAGGGATGGAGAGGGCAAAGGACTGCTGTGTACTTTTAGTGTATTATTTTCCCTGGGAAGGCTGATCAGTGCACTAAATGTTGTTTAGAATATGAAGTAGAAATCCTCCCTCTTGCTTGCTTTCCAGCAGGGGTGATCCAACCCCAGGCCTCTATATACTATGTAAGCACTTCAACTGAGTCCTCCTGCTTTAAAACTATTCATTCTTTTACTCTTTTTTTTAAATGAGTAATTAGATCTGACAATCAGTGATGCCTCTAGAGAATGGGAATTTTTAAATTTTTACTTATGTATTTACTTTGCTGGGGATTGAACCCAGGGCCTTATACAGGTATTCCACCACTGAGCTAAATCCCCATCTAAGAGTGCAAATTTTGACAAGAGAATTTTTGGGGGCAGGTACCAGGGGTATTGAATCCAGGGATGCTTAACCAGTGAGCTACATCCCCAGCTCTTTTTATTTTTATTTTTCTCCCTAAGTTACTTAGGGCCTCACTGAGATGCTGAAGCTGGCCTTGAACTTGTGATCCTCTTGTCTTAGCCCCCTGAGTCACTGGAATTACAGACATGTGCCACCAGGCCCAGCTTGACAAGGGATTTGAGTTAAAGTTGGAAAAAGTTCTGAATACAAGACATGGAGAGCTAAGAATAATGGGGTGGGCAGTATGAGATGGATTCAGGAAAGATGTCAAGGGGACAAAATAGAGGTCTCTGCCAACCTCCAATGAGAGAGACATTGTTCTACTGAAAACCCATCATCAGGTGAAAATAAAATGGGAATCCTGGAGCTAACCCACAATTAGGAATTCACCAGGAAGGATTTAAGAGACCGTACTCCCCATTATTCAGCAGGTCCTCTGATACCTTCAGGACTCTGGGATGAGGGCCAAGATTCCTTGTGCGGTTTGTAAGGTGTTGAGCTTGCTAGTTCTTTGCCTTGCTGTAACAATGACAGTATGTTTCTATTGTGAGGCATTTGCCAGGCATTTTGAACTGTGACCAAGGACCACCTTCCTTAACATTGTGATTCTGTGGGCAGCCATATGAATTACTTATTACCCCATGTTATAGATAAAGTAACAAAGATTGATTTAAGATCCCAGAGCCAACAAATATACCGCATATTTTGTATGGAACCCGCTTTGTCCAGTGGAGGTATATCTCTGTGGTAAATCTCACCTGCTCATGCTTATGTGGTACCCTTTGACTTCCCAGTGTTATTGGCATACACTCCCCTGAGCATAGGGCCCTTCTGCAGTTTTTTGTGACTCTGGCCTTTCTCTTCCCTTGTCAAAAGACAGGGCTTTGGATGTTTTATTATATTTTATTCAACATGTGACTAAAAAAAATAGTTTAAAATTCCCAGCCTCTTCCCTTCCAATTCAGCCTTCTAGGGCAGCCTGTGTGTACGTCCTACTTCTTCCCCATTTTAATTCTTTGCAAGGAAACATGACACTTCTGCTAGAATATGTATCAGGTCTATGGCTGTTGCAAACTTACTAGTGGTAGAAATAAGAAAGAATGCATTTCAGATTCTTTGGAAAGAGACTGACTGCAAGCACATTATCTATAGTTTTGTGAGAGATATGCAGGACTTGAGCATGGTGGAAAAAAGAGATGGAAAAAACAGGTCTTAAAGCTAGAGGTGTCAGGACCACTGGGTGGTGGAGGTGCCAGACACCCTTGGTTCCCTAGATAATGGGAGCTGTTGAGAGACCACAGCAGACCAAAGGAGCTCCTTCTTAAGGCAGTTATGTAATTGGTACTTCTTGCCCCTCCCAGTGGGACCTGTGGTCCACCAAGGCTGCAGTATCTGAAATGTGGAGAAAGCCTATTATCCTGTGATTCATGAAGGAAGGAAGTGGATATGTGTTTGCAGAGGAAAACTGTTGTTATGGATAAGGAAATGCAGCAGCTCCTAAGACAAACGGTACTAGTGCTATTAACCTTTGATATAAATCCTTCCAGGCCTTTCCCTGCCTGTGAGTGCATGTACTCTAAGAGTGATTTTTGTTGTTGTTGTTTAAATATTTTTTTAGGTGTAGATGGACACAACACAATGCCTTTTTTTTTTTTTTTTGGTGCTGAGGATCGAACCCAAGTCCCGCCCATGCTAGGCGAGCACTCAACCACTGAGCCACAACCCAGCCCCTCTAAGTATGATTTTGAATAGTCAGTGCATACTCTTGGCATCAAAATGGAAAGGTACAAAAAAGCAGAGAGATGGACTGGGGATGTGGCTTAGTGGTAGAGCACTTGCCTAACATGCACAAGGCCCCAAATTCAATCCTCGGCACCACAAAAAAATAAAGCAGACAGTGAAAAAAAAAAAAAAAAAGTCACCCTTCTCTTCCCTTCCAGTCTCTAGCTGAAGCCTCAATTTGAAGTACTTCTGATACATGCTTATTAGTGCATTTGGTCAGTCTTTTGATTAGACCTTGAAGTGGCTTCTAATTTGAGATTATTGCAGGCAAATTGTGACTACTTATATCCAGGTATTTGCACATGAATAAGACAGTCTGAAGGTGAACTCCTGGGATGGACCCTCCAGTGTTCAGAGGTGCATGCCCAAGAATGCTAATGGGAGTTGCCAAACAGATACAGCAGTGTTATCAACTTTTCCCCCCACTAAAGAGAGAAAGTCTTGCTATGTTGTCCAGGCAGGCCTCAAATTCCTGGGCTCAAGTGATCCTCCCACCTCAGCTTTCCAAGTAGCTGGGACCACAGACATACACCACCATGCCCAGCTCAAATATTTTTAAGCTATTGCCAACCTGCTAAGTGTAATAAAGCTATCAGTGTGCTGTCAGTCCGCATTGATGAGTGAGGTTGCACATCTGTTTGTGTGTCTACAGGCACAGTGATCTAGTCTTTGGGCTCTCCAGCTTTGAATCCAGCTCCACAGCTTACTGTGCAGCTTTGAATAGGTTGGTTAATCTTTCTGGGCCTCAATTTCCCCATCTGCACAGTGGGACTTAGAACAACACATATCTCTTAGGATTACTGTTAACTTGGGTGATTCTTATGCAGTAAAATCCTTCGAATAGTGTAGGCATTGACTATTAGGCTCTTTAGGAGCTGTTGCATTTCCTTATCCATAAGCTGGCAGTTTTATCTGTTGTCTCTTTCTCTGTGATGGCAAGTTGACTTTTTACCTTTTTAATCCCTAAAACAGTGCTATGTTAGTGAGTGGTGGGAAAGGGAAGCCAGCAGCAGAGAGGCCTTTTCCCCTGAAGAAGGAAAGGCCTCAGAGCTGGAACTTCTGGGACAGAGCAGCTTTAGAGGAAGGAGTGAGGTTGGGAAACCTCTTCTGCCTCTCATCAGTCACTTCTCCCTGGGAACAAGGACCTAATATCCCTAGCACATATCACCTGTCTGAGATCCAACCTTCTTTATGAGCTCTGGCTTACATGGCAAGGCCACATGAGTACACATCATGTCTTTTTTTTTTTTTTTAATAAGTTGTCGATGTACCTTTATTTTATTTATTTTTATGTGATGCTGAGAATCAAACCCAGTGCTTCACACATGCTCAGCAAGTGCTCTACCACTGATCTACAACCCCAGCCCCACATCATGTATTTTTTGAGCAAAATGTTAATCCCTCTACTTCCTGGAACTCTGTGTATATCAGGCATACCTGTGATTTCATGGTCAAGTCCAGCAGAGACCCCAGTTCTAGTTAACTCACACGTTCATTCTTCTTTTTTTTTTAATATTTGTTTTTTAGTTTTAGTTGGACACAATACCTTTATTTATTTATTTTTATGTGGTGCTGAGGATCGAACCCAGAGCCCCACACATGCTAGGCAAGCACTCTACCACTGAGCTGAGCCACAGCCCCAGCCCCCACACACTCATTCTTTATGTGCCTGATATCCTTTCACCTCACAACCTAGAACACTTTGGGGGTAAAGTTATGGGAGGGGCCCAACTTATTTACCAGGTGGTAATGATGCTGAAGCAAAAGTAAAACTTCACAGGGACTAGAAAGAACCAGAGCTGTGATTGACATGAGGTAGGGGGTGAAAGGAAACAAAGTGCCCATGGCCCAGGCAGTCTGCACCTCATCCCATAAAGAGTCAAAAGCTGCTGGCATTTGGTATCATTCCTCAGTGTTTCTGTCTTTAGAAGTGTGATAACTGCACCATATGGACATGGGCCTGATTCACATTCTCTTAAAATAATTTCTGTGCTTATTTTTGGAGAGGAACTTCTAGAACCCAGAACAATGTTTTTACTCAAAAACTTACCCCACATCAATATCTTTCAAAGGGATGGTATTTGCCCTCCAGACTTAGAGAATCACAGTTTTTATTTGCTTGTTTTGTTTCTCAAAGTGTTTCACTGTTCCCCAGGCTGTTCTCAGATATGGGCTCAAGTCGTCCTACCACCTCAGCATCTCAAGTAGCTAGGACTACATGCATGTACTATCATGCCCAGCTTTCCAATGGATCCTGTTGTAGAAGCCCATTTGTACATTAATTGTTTGAAAACTTGACCATGATTTCACCTAAAGTGACAGTGAATGTATGATTTAAAAGCAGATTTAAGGGCTGGGCTGCTGTTCAGTGGTAGAGTGCCTGCTTAGCATGTGTGAGAGACACTGGGTTCTCTTCTCAGCACCACATATAAATAAATGAATAAAATAAAGATCCATCAACATCTAAAAACATTTTTTTAAACATCAGATTTAAGCTAAGCATGGTAGCACGTGCCAGTAATCCCAGCAACTCAGAAGGCTGAGGTAAGAGGACTATGGGTTCAAGGCCAGCCTCAGCAACCTAGTAAGACCCTTAACAACTTAGTGAGACCCTGTCTCAAAAAGGATTGAGAATGTAGCTCAGTGGTAAAGCACTGCTGAGTTCAATCCCCAGCATTAAAAACAAAAAATAGTCAAAGACTGGAATGGTGGTTGCCTGAACTGGGAAAAATGGAGACTTATTAATTGATGGGCATAAAGTTTGAATTAAAGTAAAAGAAATAAGCTGGAGAGATCTACTGTATAGTCATCATACCTATAGTCAACAGTGTACCTTGTGCATAAAATTGAAAGGGTAGATCTCATTTTAAGTATTCTTACCACAATTAAAAAGAGTGCTATTCCATTAGAAGGTAATGCAGAGTTTAAAATGAGGGGTATTGGCCTTTCTGTGAATAAAACTGCTATCATCTGTTCAAAACCAATGAATAAAGTGAAAGGTAGTTTCTGTAGCTGTCTATTCAGGTCACTTTAGTGCTTCGCCACAAAAGACCTGAAAAACCAGTTTTCGAGTAAGATTCCTATCCCTGATGGCCCTTCACTTCATACCATTATAATTAAGTATGTTTATTAAATGAAAATCCAGGGAAAGAAGAGAAGAGAGAAAACAGATTTATTTAATGTCATTTCAATAGAAAAATGTAGATAAAATGTTAAAACAAAGATTCAACATGAGTTTAATAAGTAGAACCAGTACAAGTTCATTCTTTTCTTATTGATGGAACATGGATTTGAATATACTACTGGCCAGCTCTCTTTTCATGTCCTCATGGAAAGTTGAGATACATGGGAAAAGGAGTGGAACCAGGAGATGGAACTGGGATCCATGTAAGGTGGTATCCAGTTAACACTTGTCTCCATGACCTCCTGGGGCATGTCAGAGTTTATCAAAGATGGGAAGGAGGCCTGGATTCAAATTCATGAAGGATCCAATAGGTCCTAGCAGCACAAAATCTACAAAATGTAAAGTATTGAGCCTACATTTGAGGTCTTGAATCTTGAGAAATTCTTGAATCTAAAGAAATCCAGGGAAAAATTCAGGATTGGCACGACATAATAGCAGTTCATGGGGGAAAACAGTTAAGGGTTGGGAATCACCAGTTGGGAATATCCAATATAATCAGACTTCTTCAGGAATTTTTTAAAAAAAATTTTGGTACTGTGGAATCCAAGGGCACTCTACCACCAAGTTACATCCCTAGCCCTTTTTACTTTTTTTATCCTGAGATAGAGTCTCACTAAATTGTTCCAGGCTTGCCTTGGACTTCAGTCCTCCTGCCTCATCTTCCTTAGTACCTAAGATTACAAGTGTGTGCCTTCGTGCCCAACTGTAGTTTGTGGGGGGTACTAGGGATTGAACCCAGGATCGCTTAACCACAGAGCTACATCCCCAACCCTTTTTTATTTTGAGACAGGGTCTAACTAAGTTGCTAAGACTATCTTTGAACTCGGGGGATCCTCCTGCCTCAAGCCTCCTGAGCAGCTGTTATTGCAGGCATGCGCCACCATGCCTGGCGTACAGTTTCATCATCATCATTATTATTATTACTATTATTATTATTTTGGTACTGGGGATTGAACCCAGGGGCACTCCCACTGAGCCACATCCTCAGCCTTATTTTGTATTTAGAGACAGGGTCTCACTGAGTTGCTTAGTGCCCCACTATTTGCTGAGGCTGGCTTTGAACTCATGAGCTGCCTCAGCCTCCGAGCTGTTGGGATTACAGGAGTGTGCCACTGTGCTCAGCTACTAGGTTATTTTTTTCAATTATTATTATTATTTTTTTAGTTGTAGATGGACACAATACCTTTATTTTACTTATTTTTATGTGGTGCTGATACATGCGATTGTCTCATACATGCGAGTGTCTCATATGTGCGAGACGAGTGCTGTACCACTGAGCCACAACCTTAGCCCCTACAAGGTTATTTTTCTTGTTGGCTATTCCCTACATATATTTTTGTTTTTCCTTCCTTCTGTCTTTCCTGTACTGGGGATTGAATCCAGGGGTACTCTACTTCTGAGGTATATCCTTAGCCCTTTTTATTTGAGGCAAGATCTTGCTAAGTTGCCCAGCCTGGTCTGGAACTTGCAGTCTTCTTGCCTCAGCTTCCCAAGTAGGTAGGAATTGAACCTGAGGCCTCACATATTCTAGGCAAGTGTTCTA